TTCGTGACTCAGACTTTCGTCGACGTTTTTCACACTCTTCTTCTATTTGCTCATTGATTATGTCTGTGAACGTGTTACGGTTTCGCATGATATTTAATTGCCCTTCTACTTTGTGCTTTCTTCGACACGTGGTGTGTCTGAAAGATTTCTAGCGAAAATACTCACGAAACTATTGAACCAAAATCTCCTTCAAAACTCTGTATCCGAAAGCATGTAGGGAAAGTTTGTTTATGTTTTAGATGTATCAAATACAGATAACCCGTGTTGGTCGAGCGGTTGTGGCTTCAACTGTTTACACACCGCCAGAAACACAAAGAAATAGACGTGCTAAAACGAATAATCATAGTAAGAAAATACTTAATTTTTTCCATAAAGTGTCACAATCTCATCGATTTATTTAGGAGGTTCGGTGGGGAATGGACCCGCGAAAAGACGGATCATCTCTTCCTTTCAAGAAAGAGATGATCCGTGCACTATCGACGCAGTTAGTAAAAATGTTTCGAGCTAATAAACAGGTATGTAAATCAGTAAGTTTTGCTATAGTTAGAATGATACGACAAGTAATTGGATCTCGTCTAACACGTTTAATTCTGCATGTCAAGGTAGAGTAAAAGTTTGTGCTATCAATAAGAAACGTATCAGTTGGTGAGAGGGGCGTATACGTGATTCTACAGCCAAGCAGTAAGGAAGAAAATATGCTTTGACTTCTAATCAAAGAGAGCAGTAGGTGTGGTAGCTTTACTTTTTTTACTTACTTCTGGGTAAAGTAAGTGGGAAGTTTTACTTTACCAAAGAAAAGAGTTATTTTAAGACTTATTTTTGATGGTGAAACAATAGTATCAACCTTTAAATAAATTAGTCGTAGTCTGTAATTTCTATTTATGTGAACATTATTTCATCATGCCAAAAAAATTTACTTTTACTATTGAAAGTAAAATAAAACAGGTTTCTTAGAAACTTTTACAGCGTAAAAGTGAATTTAATTGTTTTCTTTTACTTTCTCAAAAATCAATAAAATTCTATTTTTACTTTTTACTTTAGTAAAATAAAGTAGCCATTTTTTCTTTACGTAAGAAAAGTAAAGTACCAGTCCTAGATAGTATCTCCTTGATAAGGATTTCCTAGAAAAATTTTAAGTTGTGAATCAAAACATGCATGTAAAGAAAAAAATTGCAAAGCTAATTTTTAAGATCATCACTACTGAATCTCTCTTTCGTTCTAGCAATTTTTGTTTATTTATTTCAACGATACAGTTGATACTCCATCAACAATTGACGATGAAAACGAAAATATTGATTATCAGCTCTTTTCCAGCAGAGAAATGTTCTTGGAATTTTCATCTCAGCATCATTGGAATTTGGAAATCTTCGCAGGGCAAAGTTTAGCACCATGCGCATTATTTATGAGTTAACGAAATCGTCTTATCAGTGTAATAAATGTTTCAAACCATATGAAATACATCATCGTGGTGCCCGCGATAACACTTTACCGTTGTGTGAAAAATGTTCAAACCATCCACATCAAGAAGTGCACAGCCTCGAACATAACCAGATACCATTAACACAACAAACATCGATAACAGCAACAACTCAACAACTATCTGTGGCAGTTGATGGAAATCAAATTTCTGAAATGGTATACCAAAATGTTCTAGATTTATACATACAGAAATGTAGAATGAGTTTGCACACGTGCACTCAAAAGACCATGTGTGATACCCAGGTGAAACTCATCTTATAAGATCATACAAGATCTACTGTTTTCTTATGAAATCTTGTAACAAGATCTTACTGCATGATCTTACAAGATCTTCTCTTAAGATATTGTAAGATCCTGCGAAATCTTGTAACTTCTTGTCATATGATTTTACAAGATCAGGTTATAAGACGTGACAAGATTTTATAAGATCTTGTAATACGAAAGCGTATGATATTACAAGATCTTGTCATTGAGAGACGTGACTTATATATATTTCTTATCGCAAGATCATACGATTTCTTGTTATAAGATCTTATATGATCTTGCAAGAATCGATGACTCATTCTTACCACATAAATTTTGCTATGATACTGAGTATATATATAACATAGTTCTTATGATAAAACTTAGAATTTTTTTCTTTCTTCGTCTTCACACATCAGCTGAGCGCAAATAAAGTGCATAGCTATAAGAAACGTGGTTAAACACGATCCTAAGGATCCTTGTATCCTATCTATGCCAGAAAATATTATGAGTAGAGAAAGATACTTTTAACAGGATCTAGAGGATATAGAGCACGATCAGGCCTGATAAATTCTTACGTGATCTTGTAAGATCTTGTCACTTCTTGCACGATCATACAAGATCTTGCTGCAAGAAAAATCTTGTGAAATCTGTAAGACCTTGTAAGATTTTCACATGATCTTGTGAAATCTTGTAATATGGTCTTATAAGATCATATTTCAAGATTCTTCGCCCTGGGTATGATTGAGTGCCGCGATGCATTCCCATAACGAAGAAGCCACTGCAGATTTCGATTTTCACCTGAAGATGTCTTCATAAAATAATAATGTTTCTCATCAACAAAAATTTCTAAAATAGCTCCCGATATTCTGGTGAAAGAAACCAATGAAATTTTTACAAGGATCTTATAAGTTTCTTATATTGCACTCTTTATGAATTCTAGCATCACATACACATTTAGGGCCTCTGTCATATATAATTTTTGCAAGAGTCTTACAGATTCCTATAGACATACTGTAGAAAATTGACACAAATTATATATAAGATTGGATCATTAAGGCGATCGCCCCTTACAATACATTAATACTCCAAGGAATCAAAGAACGGCTTAATTCGTCTACAATTCGTGACTGTAGTTGATTCAAGCATAAATGGTTCAAAAGCCCATACAACTCGATTGATGACCCACAAGTCAGAGCTACCTAATCTCTTCACAACTTCTATCAAACTTTATGTAGTTTTGAATCCTTTTGATCCTTAATAAAATATTTCTTTGACTAGACTACATTTATCATACTAACATTCTTTGATTAGATGAAATTAAACAATGATAAAGCTAAGAATACGAGTTCATCAATCATTTTTGAGTTTTATTAACAAAAATGAACTTGAAGCTTTCGACTACATATGTAGTCATTCTCAACACAAAATGACAAAGAGAAAAATGAACGTATGAGTGAACACAAGCAAGGACTACGAAAGGAAGGGACATCTAGTGCACCCGATCACATTCAATACAACAAAAATCATGCTATAAATTTCGATCAATCAGAAATACTCGGAAGAGAAAGTGGAAAGTTAAGAAGAAAATCGAAGAGACTATATTCATAATGAGACATCAAAATCCATACAATCACACTAGTCACGAACTAATTATATTCAACTGAAATTATCAAATGAATGGATTGAGTAGAAGATAAGACAAAAAGAGAAGGAATGCTTCTCGCTCTCTGTCATTTTGTGTTGAAAATGACTACATGTGTAGTCGAAAGCGTCACGTTGATTTTGGTGAATAAAACTCAGAAATGATTGATAAACTCGTACTCTCAGCTTTATCATTGCATTTATCATAGCTACTTCAAATATTAAATCTCAAAGTTCCATATACTAACCTATATTGCCGATCAAGCCAATCAGTTTACGTAGAAGTCATTAGTGACATGGCCGATCCACCACTGAAATGTTTCCGAAAGGAATCAAAAATATCTTATCAAACATGTCTAAAAGTCATTCATATTCAGACTTTCATGAGGTGAAAACATTGATTAAAAATGCCCAAAAATTCTACCGTGACTAGTCCAACTTTTCTTTAAATATTAGTCGATTTAATTGTTTTATGTGTGTTATGTTTCTCATTTCTGTTCACATTACACTCATATTTTCTATTACGTCTAAAACGAATGACCTTCTCACCCATTCTTTCTTTCGGTTTCAACACACCGATAATATATATAAAAACTTAACTTAATTATTTCTTTCCGTCATTGTAGGAAATGAAGCACACTTTTCTTTTCGAAAGGAGGAAGAAAAGAAAATACTCAAGCCAATAGATTCTTTACAAGACGCAGAGAGAGTACTATAATATATGATACATGCATATATAGTCTCATACCGACTATTTAAAGCTAAGTTTTCTTCATCCATAATTATTTTAAGAAAAAGTCAGCGGAGTGAAAGATATAAATAGTTGCACATTCACTACAAGTAGAAAGAATTAATAATTTAAAATAGATTTTCTTTTCGAAATGTGCAAGTTAACTGGCATCAATGCTGTTCCTGTAACCGCTACACAGGTTGTATTCGAAAGTGACTTTTTTTGTCCTTAATCAGTTACTAGCGCCGACAAGTCTCATTTAGTACTAATGATGTTTCTCTACCATTTGTAGTTTTGTTCTTGTTTGTTTAGAATTGTCTTCGATGTGTATCACTTAAAGCTGGCTTACAGATTGAAAGTGAAAAAACAAAGTATTGGGAAAAGAACGCAAAGCGGTCGGATGAAAATGCAAAATATTGGGAAAAAGAAGCAAAGCATGAGAGGGAACGGGCGGATGAGAGAGAGTGTGATTTATTGAAATTGATGGATAATCTACGGAAAGAATTTGTACGTATAAATGATTCTGGTACTTTATATTGTTTTTACTTATATCGATGTTGCCTGTTCTAGGATAATCAACTTGCGGTTCTAAAGGCGAAGCAACAATAATGTTGACTAAAGTAGTGCACCTATTAGCTCAAAGCGTTATTTTTGAGAACTTTCATTTTTTTTCACATTTTGTTAATTTTTTTGTCTTTTTTTTACATTAAACTCGCTTTCTTGAAATTTGATTGCTGGCATGAGGATCTGCTAACGAACCGAAATGACTTTCCACTACACTTGATTTATCAGTGGCTAGCAAAGAGAAACAATTTCTTAAATTACCAATATGGTAACATCTGCCTAGGGAGGTTGCCTGCTTATGAAACCTTTCTTATTATCTTGTTCAGAAACGGGCTAAAAGAGCAAAAAGACAAAGTGAGATAATCATCAAGTTTTAACTCCATTACCTCGTTTGGAGGAAGGCGAGATACCAAGAATCTCTGGTATCTAATTCCACATGTTAGGGTTAGTGGCCATGTATCCCACTTAACCCTTTACGTACCACCATTGATCTATAAAAGCTGATGGCAAACTAACTAGTAGAATAAAGCAGTGGGTAGTACAATATGTCAATTTCAAGGTTGAATCAAATCAAAGTTGCACCAATGTTGAGCAATACAATGGGTCATCCATGACCTATTGGTAGCGAACAACATGAAAAAACTTCAAAAACAAAAAAACGTACTCTTTTACACTTAGGTTGTTATTTTATAGCAAACATATTTTTATTAGCAATTATACTGAGTATTCATACAACTAAAATTATATACAATACAATTATACAATTAAATTTATTTTTTCTAGATTATTGTTTAGTGTGAAAAGCTACAAAACAGTTATGTTGCGGTTGAATGCATAAATGTAGTTCACATTTAGAACATGTCCATTGCGTTTTCAACTCGCATTTTTCATATTTACAACGTAATCTTGATTTTACAAATTTTGGCCAATGTTCATTACCATCGTATCGTGATATGCGCGGTATAGTTCTAGTTGCTTCTCGTTTTTTTCTATTTGATTTAGATCGATTATTTTCGTCAGTATCTGAGACTGAATGTTGACGCTTTTGTATAGGTACTAATGCTGGTCGTTGTAAAACTACTGATCCTTTTAATAAAGTACGAGCTATTTCTGTTTTAAATTCACACAATCGCATTTCACATTTTTTTTCACACATTCCCAATTCACATTTTGTTGAACAAGATGATTAGCCAAAAGCCAAGAATTTATTACCATTAGATCAAACAATCTCCATGCTATACGTATATACCACTTTTTACTTCTAAATGGAATAGGATGTAATGCACATAACATGTCCACCTTGTCTACACCGCCCATATGCCTATTGTAAACATCAATAATTTTTGGTGCCATAACAGAAACTTTTTTTTGGTTTTTTTTATCCCAACGTAATAATAAAACCATTGGATCGATTGAAACAAAATTTGAATCCAATAGAACACGCTTAGCATTTAATTTAGCACCTTTTTTTACACCATCCATAAGATCTAATACTACCATTCCAGATAAACCGTACATTTGGTATCATCACAACGTTTTTTAATTTGATTGTTATTTGTAGTAGCTTTTGTTGTTGATCTAGTTGATATTGAAGAGAATGCTTTTGGAAGAACAGCTGGATGCGAAACCGATTTTGCTCCGCCAGAATACAGTACTAATTTATAAACATAACCACAAAACACCACAACGAACCCAAAATTTGAATCCTCGCTTTGTTGGTTTGTTTGGCATATGCTGACGTAATGACTTAGGAGCGGTTGTTCCTTTACAGCCAACTATTTGTTCATCAAGTGATATGTTTTTTTCTTATTCTACTATATATGAGCAACGTTCATTGAATAAATCTATTAATGGTTGAATTTTATTGACTTTTGATGAATTGAGAACATTATTATTGAAATGCAATGTACGCAACAATTCTGAAATTCTGTTACGAGTTATATTAGTAGTAATTAATGCTTATTGACATAGTTGTGACCAATAATCTGATTTTGATGATAAACGTACGACGAATGCGTAAAAAAGAAATCCAAGTAATTGAAAAAACTCACGTTCTGCCATTGGTTCTTGTTTTAGTTTCATTTGTGTTCGATAAAGATTTGATTGATCGACGATATATGTTACAATACTGGGTGATAAAAACAAACGAAAATAATCGATTGGTGATGTCAATGTAGCTGAGGAAATGCTTTTGTTTAAACCAAATTGACCATCAAATGTTGGTAAATTAGGTTCAATATTCCATTTATTTCACTTCAAATTGTTCAATTTCGGTTCATCCTCTTCTTCCTCATTATCACTATCCCAGCTATCATCGCTTAATTCCTCGGAATTAGATGCAGCTTCATCATCACTATTGGTATCTGATATATTTGATATGGATTCGTATTCGCCATTTCCATCAAGACTATTATCAGATGAGGTGTTTGATGTCATAATTGTTGACTAATATATCTGAAATAAAAAAACAAACGAAATGAATAAATAATCAATAATTGAATAAAACTACACATATGCATGCAATACATATATTGATAAATTTCTCTTTTGCGAAAAATTCATATAATCATGGAACAACCATTGTTTCACAATGGAAATAATTACGTTCTGTTAGTATCAAATAAATATATTCTAAATTTTAAACACAGACGTATCTATGGCTCATACAGAAATATTATGACAAAAGGAGAAAAAAAGGATAAGACGAAGATTATTTAAACTATATGTAAAGGATAATGAACTCTGCGTCTATTGCCTCTCATATTCACATTCACTCTTTTCATTCATATCATATCCCTCTCATATTGTTCATTTCTCAATCCGCCGCATTCTTTGTCTCTCTCATTGTTCATTACAGATCGTCTCTCATTGTGTGTATATTAAGTCACTCTCTGTCTTTGTGTTCAATATCTCTCTCTTATTCTTAATATTACCATCACTCTCCTTTTGTCTTCTGCACTATATATATATTCGTTGTACAGCACTTACGTTGGAGTCTATTGTATAATAAACTCAGTAAATGATAGAATTACTTATTTTTGTTTTTGACAATCTTTTATTTGGCGCTTTTAAATATATTACATTTTCATATCGTTCGCGACCAATGGGTCATGGATGATCCATTTACTTGTAAGCACTTCTCAGAAAATTCGTACGTCATAAGAACAGCCCGTTGTATTTGCTTGCAAAGGCAACAGTCTACTAAACATTAATCGACAATAACATGTTTCTGAAAAGTTCTTGAAAAAAAAATAAAAGTCGAGAAAATTTTTTTTTCAACTTTTCAATTTTTTTGAAAATTTTTTATTTTCTGATTGAAATATCTTCACGAAAAGTTGATGGAAAAGAAAATCGTTTTTTATCAATCGATAGCTTATGGAATTATCTTGCTCTCAAAAGCAATCCATTTTTTCTCACATGCTTCATTATCTTTTTATAACAATTCTACGAATGGGTCATGGGTGACCCCGGGGTAGGTAAAGGGTTAAGAACTCACCTATAATGAAGATGTAATTGGTAAAACATCCAAGATTCTTGACATTGTATTTTGTATCACTCTGATACATGTACATTTTCGTGATAGTATTTAGGGTACCCCCGTCTTTTTTTAGCCTCTTGGAAACTAGGGAAGCCGATGTTGGATCGGGTTCTAAATTATACCACAGATAGAACATCGAAAAACAAAATATATTTTTGCCCAGAATTTTCTGACGTGTTCTTTTATGGGTTTTCTGGAAAACTCCAGTTTTCATTGGCATACATTACGATCCCCCGAAAAAATGATCCGATCGAGCTCAAAATTTTACTACAGATACTTCAGACCCTATCTCAGGCTAGTTCTTTTTCATTTCGAAAAATATTTTTCCCCTCTCGAAATATCCGAAAAATACTGAAAATCCCATATAAAAATCCGGTTTTTCATTTTGTAAACCTTCTCACGCCGAAAGTTGAAATCGAAAACGCTTTTAAAAAAAACAAGCTGAGATAGGATCTGAAGTATCTGTAGTAAAATTTTGTGCTCGATCGGACCATTTTCTCGAGGGGTCGTAATGTGTGCCAATTGAAGGGACTATAGAAAAACGCATAGTGAGAAAAACCCATATTGTGCACAGAGCTCTGTTTTTCAGGGCATTTGCGGCAATGCTTATATCTTTAAGAAAACTCATCACAAAATTCTGAAAAACATCTCATTTTGAAGAGCACACGCTCTTCTACCATGCTATATATAAGACAAAATTTTGAATATATAGAAGACGAGAGAAAAATTTACGAACCTAAAAAATCTCAATTTTTTTCAACCTCGATTTTTTCTCCCTTAAGCCATGCCGTAATGCGTATTCATTTTTTGACGAGCGTCTAACTGTTGTTGTTAATATGAGGCACTATTTTAAAATGCGTGTTTTTTACCTACCGCTTAAACAGATACCAGATCAATCCATTCTTCCATCTGGACATTGGTCCAAACGGAGAACCATAATATCACTCGTAGCAGCCATTATTTGGTTGGTGAACGAATATTCAGCATATAATGGACATATCTTATCATTGGAGAAATAATTAGCTGTGAAAAAGTTAATATTCATGATACACTGATATACACAACTCGTTTGTCTTTTAACGTTTGTTACATTTTCTGTAAAACTCGAATTTTGCAATAGTACGTATTGTGAATTAGCAGAAATGTGTAGAAACAATGAGTGAGTAATGGATTTGGAGCAATACGAAGTAGTTAATATTAACAAGAATAGATAAAAGCTACTCAGCATGGCCAGGCAAAGCTTATATTTACATGAATAACGTTAAACATTCACAAAACAATTGTATTTTCGATTTCTTTCTTCATTAGAGAGTGAAATTTATGTGAAAGTATTCTTAAAATAGATGTGAAAAAAATAAAGGATCGGTTTCGGAAAAAATTATTTCGTTGTTCGGAAAATTGACTTTTTTGAAACATCTACATTTTTGTTTTTGTTTATATCTCACTTCCAAGAATAAATAATTTTAATTTGTTTGATCTTATGATTTATGGTGATATGTTTTATTTTTATACGCCGTACTTTGTGATTGTTTGAACAGAATGTACACTGAAGATTGTAATTAAAGTTTATCTTTGTTTTACTTGAATATACGAACTCTTATTCTGAATTTTGAGTCCATACAGAGTTCTAGTATGTGACAATCAGACATTTTCGATCAAAAAGCTGAACCCGAAAATAAAGTTTCCAGATTCTCGATTCCGATAGAGGATGTCAGATCCGCAGGACTCTATCTTCAAGAGATTGTATTTGAATAGAACTAAAAACATGTGTTCGGTTTTTGTTCTGAATTTCAATGGCAGTGTTCTAATCAAAAAATAAAAACTCGGTGCTTGTGTTCTGGAATTAAATACTGTATTAAATAAAAAGAGAAATTGAGCGGAGTGTTTCACACGTACAAGATCTCGCGCATTTCGAATGATAAACCGAAAGTTCGTGTTTTCATTTCAAAGATACGATCAGGAGAATAAAGTTACTACACTTGTTCAGTTTTCTAGTCTTATCAAAAGCACATATTACTAACATAATGGAATATACGCTCTGTATATAAAAAAAGATTTATATCTTTTCCATATTTATATGCTGTGAGATATACTCTTCGACTAATATGCAGGAAGAGGGTCGAATGAAGTCTTCACTTTACACAGACATCACTCTACACAGATAACAGTGTTAATATATATGCTATGTTATATATCGATAGAGTGTATAAAACGAGGAAAAAAGAATTGTATATATACGTGGTATTTTCATAAAGCCTATTATAATATCACATTTAAAGTGACTAATAGTCGATACTCTTATACATCCGAGCACAGAATTTTTTGAAATACATTCGCAAATTAGACTCGTGGTACCTAGCGAGAAAGTTGAGCCCTACGATAGATAAATTGCCAAAAGGTTTCAGAAGCTCTTATTAGAGGCAGATCATGAGATAGAGTTTTTCCTCACTCTCACAACGACCAGGACAGATGTAAGGAAGAACTCTTCTCCACTATTACAACAGCTGAGTCGTGGTTTGCCTTACAATTCTCCATGGGTTGCAAGGAAAACTTTTCTCTATGAGGCTATACATCATCCTTAGAAAAGGAGCTTGATCTTTAATTACCTGCTGGCGTATTTTGTGTTGGCGGTTGTTTTATGAATACAAATGTCGAATTAAGATTAATCTTCATCATCGATGGTGATGAATAGTTGGCAAATAAAATACAAGTTTTATTACTTTTGTAGCAGTTCAATCCTACATACGATGGCGATACGCTTGAAAAGAATGCATGGCAAATACACTCTGAGCATGTATTCCGGTACCTGATAACAGTAGCGGGATCGTTAGAAACGTACGTGGCATTATCGATATAACCAATAAGTGTTGTACAATCGATCGTGACAACAGTTACTGTCAGAAACAGCAGGGAAACTGATCGTATCATATTTGTCTGCCGAATACAGTCGCAAGCCGGTGAAGTGTTCGCTCTTTTCTTCTGCCAGCATAAAACAAAATATTTTTTTAATATAATTTTGTCTCTTCGTTTTCTTCTTTGATACATTCTCAAGTGTACTCTAGTTGAACTGTGCATCATACTTGAATACAATTAAATATACTCTTACTATAGAGAAAAATAGAACAGTCCGCACTCTAAAAGAAATTGTCTTAAAACCTGAAAAAGGTTTTGATCGTGGGTTTATTTCCGAAACCTTTTAAAGGTTTCTATGGAATATACGAAACCTTTGGAAGGTTTTTTGAACAAAAAAGCTTTCGTGTTTCTCACACGAAACCATTACAGGGGTGAGGTTTCGTATGGTATCTTCTTTTCACAAATCACTCGATCGTGTTGGTGTGTAGAATTTGGCTAAAACAAACACACAGACAGCAGAGACTCATCTACAATATTTTGCATATGGAATGATCGTTATAGGCAGTCTATGTACATTCCAGTATTAAATACCTTATTATTACGTTTCCCCAATACTAAAGTAATTAACAATCAAACAATACTTTTCAGTTGCCGTATACATAAAAAGTAGCATTTCTCATCTTTTTATTTCTTGTTCGCCAGAAGCTGAATCACTTCTTCTTTCTTTCACAATTAACAACCATACTTTTTATTTATGCAACTTTTATCGCCGTCCTAGACGACCCATTTCATTCTTTGAAAATTTACAAAATTTTCTTCTTTCGCACATAAAAAAAGATTTTTCTATTATATTGTCAGCTGATTTCAACGTTCGTACAGTTAAGCCTCTAACATCAGTCGGATTACGTTCTTTAATAGATATATTTGATATTACTAACGCTTTCTCTATACCTACAACAGTTAAAAATACATTCATTGACAATGTGTTCTTTTCTTCTACTCTTCTCTCTCCGAGTACGACCATTTTTCCTTCTATAGGCAAGTC